AATAATGTAAATAATGTTTTGTTTGTTTTTTGTTTTGTTGTTTGTTTGCTTGCTTGTTTTTGTTTTGCTGTTTGCTTGCTTGTTTTTTGCTTGCTTGTTTTTTGCTTGTTTGTTTTTTGCTTGTTTGTTTTTTGCTTGTTTGTTTTTTGCTTGTTTGTTTTTTTGTTTGTTTTTTTGTTTTTTTTGCTTGTTTGTTTTTTGCTTGTTTGTTTTTTGCTTGTTTGTTTTTTGCTTGTTTGTTTTTTGCTTGTTTGTTTTTTGCTTGTTTGTTTTTTGCTTGTTTGTTTTTTGCTTGTTTGTTTTTTGCTTGTTTATGTTTTTGTTTTTGTTTGTTTTTGTTTTTGTTTGTTTGTTTTTGTTTTTGTTTGTTTGTTTTTTTTTTTTTTGCTTTCAGCTTTCGTTTTGAAATTTTTTAGATGACTACCATGTGTACTTTAGGAGAACATCTAGCAAAATTCTTCACGGGACTGAATCTATTTATCTTTTGACAAATGTATTTAAAATTCCGATTACAAAACTTAAGATCTTTTTACGTTTTGGATTTCATGCATTTAAGATAATAGCTTCAAATATCTGAAGCATTTTCCCCGGAACAGTTATGTGACGTCATCGTAACCAAATAATTCACCACTTTTAAAATGTAAATATAAAATAACTCGATTTTCTGTACGCACGAGTAGAATGAAATATACAGGAAAGTACATTTTGACATTTCAAACTCTTATTTAAGGATCGAATAATTTTTCTTTCTCGCCTTTAAAATATTCGTTTTCTAATATAAACACACAGAAACAACTTCCCTTTCATAACATTGTTATTAACAAAGTGTGGATGCATTTAGCTGTACACCGTATGTGTATATATATATATATATATATTAGTAAATTGCGGCGTACAAGTCAAGTTTTCAAGCCATAAATATATTGTTACTGGTAGCCTACCATAAGTTTGGAGGTCGATCTATACGCTAGATATCAACATTCGAAACTAAACATCTTGAAGTCGAATTCTACGCCAAGTTAACTTGTAGAGTGCAATTTATGGTATAACGTATGTCATGATAATCATAAGAGAAACGTTGAATTTGTTTGGATTTCTTTTTATTATCACCTTTGAAAAATCATACTTGATAAAAAGAGACAAGATGCGACTTAACAGTTCGAGAAAATATGAACATATTGATCGCTTTTTATAGCTGTCACATAACACAGCACCTTCTGTATCTTGCTGCATATTTAACATGGATGTTTTTTATTCACTCTACCAGAAAAAAAAATTAATAAAAACAAAACACAAAATTAACAATTTTCAGGTTTCTTTGAGAAAGTTAAAACCCCTGTTATAGCATATCTCTCTCTCTCGTATATATATATATATATATATAACTGCAAAAAACAAAAAATTCCTTCAACATGGGATAGTCTATTACAAGCCGTTGTGTGCACAACTATCATCAGCCCCTAAGTGTCTGACTCCGAGGCAGACACTTAGGTGTTCATGATAGTCTATTTCAAGCCATTCCGTACGAGGCTATCCCATATTGAGGTAATTGTTGGTTTTTGCTATAAAAAAATAATGTTCTGTTATATTAAATACATTGAGCTCTCTGTGGATCAGTTTTAATCATTAATATTACTAGGAACCACCCGGATTATATACCAACGGATCGATTACCTGTACCATATATATATATATAATAATTATTTATTTAAAAATATGATTCCAACTCGCGACATAAGAGGTCTCATGTTTCAAAACAAGAGCCGAAGACTTCAATATAATTATTTGAATTAAATTGAGTTAAAGTAAGCTCTGTTCCATCTTCAAGCGAAATTTTTTTTTTGGAATAACGTATTTCTGAAATTTATTCAAAAAAAAAAAGTTCGCTTGAAGATGGAACAGAGCTCACTTTAACTCAATTTAATTCAAATAATTATATTGAAGTTTTTGGCTCTTGTTTTGAAACATGAGACCTCTTATGTCGCGAGTTGGAATCATATTTTTAAATAATTATATTTATGTTCTACTTTTGTGTCGAGCACTATTTTTTTTAAAATAATAACTAAAATACTAAGGAACTTTGGATTATTTACCTAACCAGTTTCTTATTTTCTATATATTTTCACATATATATATATATATATATATATATATATATATATATATACTTTCCCTGACGATCCGTTTAGGTGAAACCTAGGTAGGTTTGTCTGGCTCACTAGGTGTATCTATATATATATATATATATATATAAAACAATTGATAATTAGTAGGGATAATTCCGATGAGGATATAAATCCAAAGAGAGCTTTATGTAAGAACAGAGCAATATAATAATGAATACAGAATCCTTAAAAATCCATCAGGTCAGTTAATAATTTATTTCGTGGACTACACGTCCATCTCTTCAGACCAGTTTTACATTAATAAACGGAGTTTAATTTATTCAGACACAATAATTCATTTGTGCCTGAATAAAATGAATTCCATTTATTCCTGTTCTTACATAGATTCTGTATTCATTATATATATATATATATATATATATATATATATATAGTTATCAAACATGAAATGTTGTATTTATGGTTGTTAGTTGATCTTGTCATCTAACAAGTAACCTCCCTAACATATTAAAAATTATTGGCTTATTCTTGACTCTTTTTCTTTTTTTATAGATTCCAATGAAAATAAGACCGAGTAACATTATTGTATGAGTACAAACTGGGGGAAAAAGTATTTTTGCATCGAATAATGAGATGAGAAGTGGATACTCTTTGACAACAGTAAGATAGTAAGCCAGTAGTTAGATGCAAATGAATCACCAAAACAATACCCAAGACACCACCACTGCACCCTAAAAGATAATGATTAATGTAGTGTGGTGTTTCAAATGGGTTAGTATTCATTCTTGCCTCAATGGAAAACAATAACAACCTCGTATTGTGGAGAAAATGAGTGTATGCGTGAAAAATTGAAAAATAAACTTGTGAATAGGGTTGGCCCAATTTTGCTGTATAATAACACTCGGCCACACGCTTCTCAATTAATTGCCCAAAAGCTGCAGAGCCTGAATTATGCAAGTTTACCTCATCCTCCATATTCACCTGATATCTCTACTACTGATTATCACTTATTTAAGCATTTTGAGCTTTTCATATGCAATAAAACATTCTCCAAAAAGGAAGAGGTAATCGAAACATTTAAAACTTTTATTACATCAAAGGATGAGGTTGTTTTTTGTTTTTTTTTAAGGATCGGATCAAGAATTTGGATAACAATCATTCAGCAACATGGTGCCTATTTCAACTAAATAAATTAGTTATTTAACATTTCAGAGGCGTTTTATTCATTTCTTATAAAGTGCGTCATTTCATGTGTGACATATATAGTTGCAAAATAAATAAATATTGCAATAAATACAATTTTTTTTAATAGCATCGCTCAATATCAAAGATAGACCAATTGTAAAGTTTGGTTATAGACCCTTGCTTAAAATCGTTCGGAGAAACATTTAAAATTTTTGAATCATGGCAAGCTTCTTGGTACAAATGTTATTTTCACGATTACTTGACCTTCAGGTATCAAGGTCGCGTTTCCAAGACACAGTTGTCTCTAGAATCTTGGTAAGATCAGAATCTTAAACGCTTCTATGAGCGATTTTAATGGTCATTTTATATTTGACACATATCTGTAAAAAAAAAAAAAAGAATAAACAAAAACAAAACATGTTCGAAAAGCCAATAACTAAAAAGAATAAAAAATAAATACAAGGAACCTACCTGAACCATGCAAAAATCGACAAGTGCTCGAACTCTTTAAACAGAAAATTTCAAAACATAAAAATCCTGAAACAGAGCAGGAACACAAGGTTCCATCCAAAAGTTTTAGGAATCTGACCAAAAAGAAATACCTAACGCTAAAGTCTATTTTTCATCGTCGTCTTTGAAGTTTCTCCTTTGTCTTCCAGTACACAGGAGGACTGCACACAGAGGGTAGCGGCAAAAGTAATACAGTCTATATTCCCCGAACATTTCAGCTAACACTTGACATATAATTCAATCCAAAAATATTAGAGACTGGAATTTCAGTGTTACTTCAAGTTTCATATTGTCCAAAGAACGATAAATATCAATCACCTCAAAATCACGTTGAAGATTCTGTGTCGTTAATATTTTGTGTGTGTGTATGCGTTTGGGCAGCAATCGTTCTTTTATACAGGTTTCATTAAATACGACGGGCAATGAATATATTCCGATTTTTTTTTTCTTCTTTTTATGGTGACAAAAATTGTAAAAACACTAGAAAAACTTATCACAAAATATTATTTGTCCGTCGCATTAAGAGAATCTGCCATTACCGACCCCCCTTTTTTTTCGAATCGTCCCGTGGTTCTGTCTCTGACATTTTGGGGATTGGATTCCAGCTGTGTTTCAGGTCGATTTTAGTTACTGAACATTTCTTGATTATCGAGCACTTTCCGTCGCATTAAGTTCCGATAGGTTCTTTTTATCTTTTTTTTTTTTTTTTTTTTTTTTTTTTTGAAGGGGCCATTTTTTTTTTTTTTTTTTTTTTTTTTTTGTATGGTATAAGTAACTCTAATTATACATATATACATATAGCGGTCTCCTCGTTAAACGATCATGACCATCGCTGACAAGTTTGAAGGACGTGTTTGGTTCTCGTGAGAACGACAATCGTTCTCAAAGCCAGCAAGTGACGATGTGGCAAACTAAGTTTTCCTGTACAGTGCCTGGCTTGTTTTGTAAATTATGTCCAGTTTGCTAGTGGGATATTCACGTGACCAGTGAGACCGGAACGGTTTCTGCAGGCTTTCTTACATGTCCTGCACATTAAGTTAACACCACACACACCCACACACGCACCCACAAATGAGGGTTGAGCTCATAGAAATATACATAGAAATCTGGGATAAGACATTCCAAAGTTATTTTACTTAACCTGAGGGATAGTAGTAAAGTATACGTTTTCAGATGCACTTAACAAGTGGTCTGGTTCTGAACGTAAGTAACACTCGAACTGGGCCGTCTGACTGTACTCTGAAAATTATACATTACCGAAGATCCGGGTCCAGGAAGGGCGTCGTAAGGTTTACTCGTACAGCAACAGAACAAGTAACGATTATAATATTTCCGAAACTGGTTGCTGAGGAAGTAAAGAGCAAAGGGGTTAACGCACGAGTTGATGAACGCCAAACAGAAGCTGGTTACTTTGAAGATGTGCCAGAACTGGTTAAATTCGCCGTCGTAAAAATAGTAGCATAGCAGGTAGATGTGACGGGGTAGCCAGCAAATGACGAAAAGGATGACGAACGAGAGGACCGCTCGCGCGACTTTAAGACGAGCCTCGATCTGCTTTTGATAAGCGGCTCTCCCGTTGGAATCCCCCGGTATCTGTTTGGCGCTTAAGATCAGGATCCTCGCCATCAGGATGTAAAATGCTCCGATAATGAACAATGGAATGAGAAAAAAGACGAGAAATTTAAGCATGACCATCAATTGGGAATACCATGGCGGTAGGTAACCTCCAAAATCAGATGTTGGGTATAAAATACACACTTTGTACGAACCCAGTGTGATATTAGGTGAAAACTGTATCACTGTCGATGAACTTAAATCCGGTGTAGCCAGTAGAAGTGCGACTAGCCAAAGGCAGCCGGCAGTTGTGACTGCACGGACAATGGGTCTTGACTTGTGTTTAGCTATTGGGTCTACAATAGCAATGTGCCGATCAGCGCTTAGGGCGGTTAGCATGAATACGGATACTCCAAGAGAGACTGTCTGCAAGTATTCGTTGACTTTACACATGATTTCGCCGAACGGCCACTCGGGTAGAATGTAAATGAGAGCGTTGAAAGGGACTGTAATAAGAATTAGTAAGAAGTCGCCACATGACAGGCTGACAATGTAAATGTTGGGAACCACTCTCATCTTACGGTTACGGAGAACAGTGTAGATGAGTGTACCGTTTCCAACAATCCCGACAATGAATGCAAAGCCGAACAGGATCGGCACAACGATACGCTCCGTGCTTCTGTCCAGCGTGTGAGCCTCGTGGTCGGACTCATCGCCCTCCTCAACTCCTAATCTGGAACCATCTGTAAAGTTGAGCGCCATACTGGCCAGAGACCCATTAACTGTGAACGCAGGCAATGCGTCGACCATCGTGTTGGTTACACTGCTCGCCTCCTTACTAACTCGCAGTTGGGTGTGTCGTTGCAGTCAAGTGAGGTTATCTTGTGTCACCGTCAGACTGCCTTCAGTTTCTCGTCGTGTAATTGTTTTGATTGTCGTGGGAGGTAACGTTGTTTGCGGGGGGTGCTTTTTCTAGTTGTATATGGTCAGGTGACTACGATGATTAGAAAGTATGCATTTCTTAACAATGACATAGAGGTACCTTTTATTCATAGAGTTGTAGCATTTGTAAGAATTCCGTAAAAAGAAGTAAAGCCTGTCGTAGTTTCTACAGTTGAAACATTGTAGATGATAAACTGTTGGATTAGCCTATCTTTACTTAGTTTTTAGTCATATATTCTCTTTTATGCTTTTCTATTTCACTCTTTGTTTTTTCTCTCTCTGTTCTTTCTCTGCCTCTTTCTCTCTATTTCTCTCTATCTTTGTTTTTCTCAATTTGTTTTTTCTCTCTCTCTCTCTCTCTGTTTTCTCTCTCTCTCTCTGTTTTCTCTCTCTCTCTCTGTTTTCTCTCTCTCTCTGTTTTCTCTCTCTCTCTCTTTTCTCTCTCTCTCTGTTTTCTCTCTCTCTCTCTCTCTCTCTGTTTTCTCTCTCTCTGTTTTCTCTCTCTCTCTGTTTTCTCTCTCTCTCTGTTTTCTCTGTTTCTCTCTTTTTCTCTCTTTTTCTGTTTGTTTCTCTCTCTCTCTCTCTCTCTCTCTTTTTCTGTTTGTTTCTCTCTTTTTCTCTGTTTCTCTCTTTTTCTCTGTTTTTTTTCTCTCTCTCTCCCTGTTTTTTTTTTCACTCTCTCTCTCTCCCCTGTTTTTTTTTCACTCTCTCTCTCTCTCTCCCTGTTTTTTTTTCACTCTCTCTCTCTCCCTGTTTTTTTTTCTCTCTCTCTCTCTCCCTGTTTTTTCTCTCTCTCTCTCTCCCTGTTTTTTTTCTCTCTCTCTCTCTCCCCTGTTTTTTCTCTCTCTCTCTCTTTGGTTTTTTTCTCTCTCTCTTTTGGTTTTTTTCTCTCTCTCTTTGGTTTTTTTTTCTCTCTCTCTCTTTTTTTTTTTCTTCTCTCTTTCTCTCTCTTTTGGTTTTTTCTCTCTCTCTCTCTCTCTCTCTTTTTTTTTTTTCTCTCTCTCTCTCTTTTTTTTTTTTCTCTCTCTCTCTTTCTCTTTTTTTTTTCTCTCTCTCTCTCTTTCTTTTTTTTTTTTTCTCTCTCTCTCTTGGTTTTTTTCTCTCTCTCTCTCTCTCTTTTGGTTTTTTTTCTCTCTCTCTCTCTCTTTGGTTTTTTTTTCTCTCTCTGTTTTTCTCTCTCTCTTTGTTTTTTGCTCTTTTTTGCTGTTTTTGCCTCTTTTTTTTTTTTTTGTCTTTATTTGCTCTGTTTTTAGGTTTTTTTTGCTTGCTCTCTTTTTTGTTTGTTTTTTACTTACTATTTTTTTCTCCCCCTCTCTTTTTTTCTCTCTCTCTGTTTTTTTTCTCTCTCACACTGTTTTCTCTTTTTGTCTCTTTCTCTCTCAGAAAACTGACTTAGAATGCAAAATATATTTCGTAAATGGTCCGTTGATAAAATAAGTAAATGAATGAAGAAGTCAAAAGCTGAAATGAAACTTTCGTCTTTTTATCTGGAAATATGCGAAATGGCGATAAGTTGAATTCCTTCCGATAGATTTTGACTTCAATCTTTTTTTTTTTTTAATTTTCCTTCTTGTCGATATCACTGTCGCTTCACAATCTTTATTATGTTATTAAAGACTGACTCTTGTCGAGGTTGACAACGAGTGTAACAAGCTTTTGTAGATACTGCCTATGCCGGCAAAATGGTTTGTAAATAAAGATACCAAAAATTCAATAGTTTCTTTTTCTTTCGTTATATTTTAGTTTGTTTTTTTGTTTTTTTTCTTTGTTTCGTTTTTTTTTTAGGGGGGGTTCATATATGAATGCCGCAAAACTTTCGTTTTTCTGTTTTTCTTTTTTTCAAATAATAAAGCAATACTCAGTGGGAATGGTTTTGTCGTAATATCTCGTTGTATAAATAGAATGGTATTTACCAAGAATATAAACTGATATTATTCAAGTAATATTATTTCTATTAAGAGTGACAACGATAAGTCTTTCTGGGAGTACATTTCAATGGGGCCAATGGACTTATTCCCAGAATGGACATATTGTCCATTAGGATTATTTATCGATAGTTTTATCATCGACTTTTGTAGTAGTAGTAGTAACTGTTGCTGCATTTGTTATAATTAAAGTATTATTTAATTACATTATTAATTAATGCTGCTTATCTAAATTTCATGACGATAGATACTTCTTTTAGTACTGAATTGTCCGTTTGTTTATGGAATAAAGGCGAAATTAAAATTCTTTATTATATCACTAGCCGTTTACGATTGATAAGTTGAACGCAAATAAAGATAAAGATCTGTTTATTTCTAACGTTCAAACAGCGTCAAAAGAAAAGATTCTATCATAATAGTAGTTTACTAATGGTGATTACTAATTTTATATGACTTTACTATAATATTAATGTCTTACGATGGTACCAGGTCATAATAACTTGGAACTTTGAAAAAAAAAACGCTTAAGGAACTTAGGATCTGTGACTACTGTGGAAGGTACTGGAGATGTGAGGAAATTTGTTATTACTCAGTCTCTAGTAAAATATGATAATAAACTTTGGAACTTTATCTTTGGGAAATAATGGAGTCTGTAGTCCACGACGTTACTGTGCTCAGCGAAAATATTGTAGGAGACGACTTGTTGTCACTTGATCTCCTCTGATAACCACCAGACAGCCAATATTAACATGGAAATGTATGATAATAGTCTCGAATATTATTTATGATAATGATGATAATAATCTCGAATATTTCTATATATTCATAGATTGATAGTTCTGTTTATTGAAAGCAGAAGTTGGCAAGCAGTCAGAAAAGATCGAACCTGCATTCTATTAGAACGTAGGAAAAACTCTCTGACCACTTAATAATAGGTCGACTGATTTCTTGTTTTGTTTTGTTTTTTTTTTTTGTTTTTTTTGTTTTTGTTTTTGGTTTTTTGGGGTTTTTGGGGGTGTTTGTTTTCTGGTGCTTTGTTTTTTTTTTTTTGTTTTTTTTTTAATAATTATTCATTGCGTACCAAGTTCCAAGAAGAGCTCACTGTAACTTTTCTGATCATTTTTATGCTAATTTTTCAGTGCCATAACATCCAACGCTATGCTTAGCATAGTCTGACACAAGGCTAGAGTTATACAGAGCACCCAGTAAATGATCGAACTGACTAGTTTCCTCACCACTGCTTTCCTGATTTTATGGCAGTTGAAAGTGAATTTCTTAAAATGTGGTTTTAAAACTGATGGAGGTAAGAACGATTTTCTCATGTGATTAATTTTGCTAATGAAGTCAAAAAAGTATCCTTCTTTGTTATAGTCTGGCACAAGGCTAAGTTGCTAATGACGGTGAATCTCTTGTGAAATTATTATTAGTTGATCTTTTCTGTTTCATCAATAAATAAATTGTAACTTATCCCAGATAAATGAGTCTCAAACGGGAGGCAGAATTTCAATCGGGGAGGAAATTCCGTATTGAGGAAGCAATATACATAATGTGTGTGTGCTTGTGAGATGAAATGCCGATATTTGCAATAAATGTGAAGACGAATTAAAAGTTCGCAAAACTTGCCGCTACAGACTAAATCTGCTTACTGAACTCTTAAAAGTATACGTAACAAAATGAAGTTTAAGAAATACACGACTTTTTTTTGTATTAGGAACTCTACACAGATTTTACTAAAACTTATATAGCTAATGACGTCAGTGTACCTTTAAAACTCAAAAGAAACGGAAAATATGTAATTAAACAAAAAAAAATGACTAAATACGTGATTTTCTACTGTATTCACGAATTCTAACAATTTTGCTGCTTTAGTTAAATTGTTTTTCTTTTCTATTCGATCAAAGGGTGAAAATTTCAGAAAATTGCATACTAATTCCTGAGGAGAAAAAATTGACTATTTAAGTAAGGGTTAAAATCCTAAGTTGCCTATAAAATCCTAAGTTGCCCATAAAGCTTTGAATAATGTTTGTTTTTGTTTTTCAAGTTTTTGGAAATCTTAATTTATTCATTAAAATATTAACAATGTAAAAAGCATATTCGTAAAAAAAATTGAAAACTAAAAGACAATTCAGAATGGGGGAGGTATTGGGAAAGCCTGGAAATCACAAGGTGAGAAATGTGAAGAAACTTTTCTAGATCGATATTTGAACCTTTTTTTTCTTTTTTCTTTCTTTATTTTTTCTTTTTTCTCCTTCTTTTTTTCCTTCTTTTCCTTTTTTTCCTTCTTTTTCCTTTTTTTTTCTTTTTTTTTGTTTTTTTTTTTTCCTGTTTTTTTTTCCTGTTTTTTTTTCCTGTTTTTTTTTCTGTTTTTTTTTTTTTTTTTTTTTTTTTTTTTTTTTTTTTTTTTTTTGTTTTTTTTTTTTCCTGTTTTTTTTTCCTGTTTTTTTTTTTCCCTGTTTTTTTTTTTTTTTTCCCTGTTTTTTTTTTTTTTCTTTTTTTTTTTCCTGTTTTTTATACAGAAGTGAATATCCTGTTAATACTGGCGTGAATAAAAAATATAGTGTAATTATATTAACGTTATCCCATCTCAGATTGTTTAAATATACAATATTTTAGTATAATTTTCTTTTGCGTTTTGACAGTGTTTTTTTTGTTTTTTTAGGGGGGTGATTTTTTTTTTTTTTTTTTTTTTTTTAAGGATAAATTTTAAAAAAGCAACTCTTCCTTTAGTCCAAATTAAGTCGTTATTAGTGACAAGTGTCAGGAGTATCGTAGAAACAAAAGTTCATAAGGCAGAGAACAAGAATATTGGGATTGAACTCTTGTCAAGGCTCTCCAACATTGAACGGCCTTTGCATCGCTCGCGTAAAACAATGATTTTACGTTGAGGAACTTTGCGATTCCTACAAGACTTGATACCACGCGCTAGATTTACCTTGAATGAAA